CAGTGACTGTAAGTCAACATCTATTGAACGGCGCTTCCCATAAGTTTCACTCTATTCCCGATGGTGCGGATTCATAAGTCAACATCTATTGAATGGCACTTCCCATAAGTATCACTTTATTCCCGATGGTACGGATTCACGCTTGAATGTCACTGACCTCTTAAACACTAAACCGAAAGGTTGCAACCGGCTTCGAGCAAAGTTTGTTGGCAGCACTACCGCTCGGAGACCTACTCTTCGTTCTGGCCCAAAGGGTTTGCGCTTAGAGAAAAATGTTACAAAAATAGCGAAGAGGGAAATTAAGAAATAATTATGATAAAACTAATTACAGTAAGCAACTGAAACGATATAAATTTTTAAAAGATTGCACCGAGCTTTACTTAGTTCAGTGCATAATCACGGCCACCGCGCTGTTCTGAGCTCTGCCGCAATCATGCATCTCGGGGTCAATAAGCTTTTAGCACACTAACGACCGAACTTCAATGTTGTTTGCTCCTGGACATGATGAAAAGGCAAAGTTTGATGACCTTAGCAGTGATAAATGGTTGCGACATACCAGAAGCTTTCAAGGTATGTAGCTTTTTTAAAACAGCGGAAGCTTTGTCTTTTCTGTGCCAATCATCACCTGGCACCAAATTCACGGGGTGGGTTGATATATTGTGAACTACTTATGTCAGAATTCGAGGTTCCTAGGTCATGACCTTCGCGTGAAGTAGGGTCAAGTGAAGTCAAACACAGGATTGGTGTCGCAAAGTGCTACCAGACCTTCTTCTTAAAACGCCTAGAACCCAAATATCTATTCTAATCAAAATATTATTTATGTTTATTTAAGATCAGTGACCTTTGACATTTAGAAGGTTATGATGACCGAAAGCCTACCTCACTACCTCCTCAAAGTCCTGCTTTGTTATCTTGCAACAACCATATGTACGGCGAAGCTGCCTCAAACATCTCATTTCTCAATGCTTTCTAAATTTAAATGTTAAGCACCATGGCAATGCAGGGCCTGTTTACTCGGCATGCTCCAAAAAGCATGTGATAACCTTTTATTTGCTTATCATTCACATTGTTCCACTCTTCGCTCTCGCTACCCCGGGTTCCTGTTCCGCGAAATGACTTCAGTAGCCGATACGCTCACAAACCCCTCCCTACTCCTGTTCCTCAGTCATAATCCGCCGCCCGCGTCAGCTGGAATAGCCATTCAATCATTCAACTTACACATTATGACGCTCTTTCTCTATACGTGATGATGAATGGCTAATGCATTACAGCAATCTTCACTAATGCATGTTCTCGTTCAAGCAGCTTAGTTGGTGAAGCGTTGGTCACATGGGCCAATATGTCACAAACAATTAGGCTCGAACTATGAAATTCTAGTTATGCTCTATCAGGAGTAATCAATTCCCAAACACCAGGGCTGGAAGCAAGTGCGGACTTGATACATATTGTCCACATCATTGGAGTGCTTCGCATCATGTGTCTTTGACTGCATGGCCTTGAAAAGTTCCTCATGCCCCTTAACAACCCCAAAGTGGTGCGGCAAAAAAGTGTGGGAATTGGGGTTTTTGCTGTAAAAGTTGCATATGTTCCTACACTCCCCATAATACACTCCCTTGATCCGCACCGGAGATTATGCGCACCCGCTAGTGCACCGCATGTTGTGCTGAAGTTGTCTTGTGCGCAGCTCCACTTCGAGGGAGGTGTTAGGTATGTGGCGAGATGTGTGAAGATCGGGCTAGCGGCTGTGGAGGGGTGTTGAGAGTGGGCAGCGCCCTCCGGTCGCCGAGGCGATTTAGTTACCGTAAGTGTTCCACATTCGTGTGCGGTTTTCAACTGAAATAGCCATCTTGAAGATCGTTCGGTGCAGTTCGCATCCTTGTCCCTCTGAAGACCTAGGGCCTTCCAGCTTCTGTCACTGGCCATGCGGCGACCAAGGCCAATAAGAATATAATTATCGAGTTATTTATACCTGGCGTTCGTGAGCACGATTTTCAGATATAACGATCGGCAACCGGCTTCCAATCCATGTTGTGCAAGATACAATGACGCAATAAAACAATGACGTATTAAGGAGCATGTTTCCTCGACACACAAGTTTTGCCGTCTAGAGCAGTCTTTTTTCTTTAAAGTATTCCAAAAGTCATAAGTGATTTATCAACATACCTGATGCCTCCTTCAATATCTCCAAATGACGAACATTTTGTTTAACATTGCGTGTGTAATTGTGTATGTTGTGTGTGAATGTCGTTTCATGTAACGTCCAGCTAGGTCGAGCTGTTCCCTTGGGGTCCAAAGCTGGCCTTGTGAGTATCATAGATTTAAACCTTGATGGTGCGTTCAATTTAGCGAAAAGCCGAGGTTTGAGCTCATGGTTATATGGGGAGTAATATCCACAAGTTTCATAGTATGTGTTCATGCATTCAAAAGAGTATGAAAAAATCACGACAATCTTTAACCGTTATGGCTCCCTCAGTGACTGTTCGCACTTCATTTTATTTCACAAGCTAGTAAAATTCTGATCCACGTGTCTTTTGATCTTTAAGACAATCTGATTCAAAAAGAGTTCCGCCCCTGAAAAGCGTTTACCTAAGCCACAAAAGCAGCACCAGTAGGTTGACATGACATTTGCGTAGTACACACCAGACAAATGACCTCGAAAAGGAATGTAGCATAAATAGTGGGCACTAGGGTGGCACTAGCTGTCACGATGAAACACGTCTGTTAAGGTCTGGTTTATGACAAACGGCCATCGATTCGTCAATCTTAAGCGCAGCCGCACCTTTGCAGGCACGCACCGTTTTGAGAGCCTGCCTTTCGCGAGACGGAAGATGTGGAATTTTTCAGAAATGGAGATATCCCATGGATTGAATCTGACATCAAAGCTAATGTGTCCCAGGACCCCGCCATCCACAGATGGGGAGGGAAGGGGGGAACTCGCCCTTGGCTACCCTGCCGAACTTCTTTCTTTCTACTTCTTTGGTAATTGTGGCACGGGGATGGGTTTGAACAGTGGCAGCATTTTGTCGTCAGTGTGTCAGTCTTAATGCATTCCTTAATTTGATCCCCTCCAGATTTCCTCAAAGAAATGGCCCCGGACCATTACGTCTATGAATCTCGCACAATGTGAAGTAGGTCAAATTAGGCATTCAATAGATTCAAAATCCTGTGAAAAAAGATTCTTGAACACTGGAAACACCAGTCTCCACATGGGGCTGTACGGTATCTTAGGCTCATTTTAGTATTGCCTTGATTTTAGGGAGACAATTAGTCAGGTAGACTCTAAAGGGCCCACTGCACGGTTGCTTCGGGCGCAGCCATGATATAATGCATCTGACAAACACTGAAAATGTGAAACTCATCAAGGAAAGGTTCGGGGCTCGAGTCCATGATGAGGTTCACATTTTCAGAGTTTGTCAGGCAAACATCATCATCTACCTTCAAAGCGGCCGCACAATATGGTCACTCACGGCCGGAGAATGCATAATATATTTGGAAATATTATTTGGGGCTCCGTGGCTCTTCAGTGAAGTGCTATGACTCGGGAGTGTAGTGTGTTGATAGAACTTGATTGCTGTCCAAAAATGGTTACATAAAACATCCAATGATTTTTCTGAAGCCTCATCACGCAGGGCCCGTTGCACAGTGCTGCTCGCAAAATTGCCTCCGGCCTCAACCAGTTACGACCACCAGCGACAACTGGCGATCTAAACGGGCCTATCTGCCGGCCTGCCCGTCGGCCGAAGACGAAGCGTCCGGCCCGACATGGTCTGACCGTGAACAGCGTCTGTGTGTCTGCCAGATGCGCCAGCTGACCTGACCTAACCTGACCTGACCTCACCCGGCCGTTTGCAGGGTGCCTGTGCGCTGGTCTGTGCGCCGGCTGGGCGGACGCGGACACATTCAGCGCCCAGCTGCGGATGATGTGGTACAGCCTGATGGTGGTCTACATGACGTACGCGCTGATGCCGCTGCCGCTGCGGCTCTGCGTGCTGCTCGGCTCGCTGACAGCCGCCATCCACGTCAGCCTGCTGCTCGTGCTCGCCTCGGTATGCCCCCCCCCCCCCTCCCGATCGCTCGCACACGGCTCGCTGACGCCGCAATCCACGTCAGCCTGCTACTCGTGCTCGCCTCGGTATGCCCCCTCCCCCATCGCTCGCACACGGCTCGATGACCGCTGTCATCCACGTCAGCCTGCTGCTGTGCTCGCCTCGGTAGCCCCCTCCCCATCCCATCCCCCTCGCACACGGTCCCCGGTCACAAGTCAAATGAAAAAGTCGAACACAAAAGTAAAAAGGGGTAACAGTCGAGTCTGAGAGAGCAGAATTTCAAGTGAAGAGGGATGGAGGTTTAAGTCGAATGCAACAAAATCGAGGACAAATAGTTGGAAGGAGTAAACAGCAACGGGGATTACAGTCGACGTTGATGCAAATCACAAAAACTAAAAAAAGTGGCCAAAGCGATTTAAGAAAGAAAAGTTACCAGGATTTGAGGCCCGGCATCGAATGAGTTGCCTTGCTTCGCATTGCTAGTCTCTGTAATCAGGCCCCACTCTCACCCGACAAACTCTCTCGGGTCGAGATGATGTGGTCTATTTGACACGTACCAGAAGCTCTCCGGTCCATACTAATGTTTTGTCACCTCCCCCCTCCCCCTTCCTCCGCCCCGACTGGACCGACCGCACTAGCCACCGCCATCTCCGCCAGAACCCGTACTGGTAGGCCTGGAACGAGGATATGTCTTCGGCCCGGTCTGTTCCGACGCACGCCTGTCCTCTCTCCTCAGGAGCTGTGGCCGGCCTGGAGCGATGCCATTTCCTTTACCCGGTCTGTTCTGACGCCTGTCCTCTCTCCTCAGGAGCTGTGGCCGGCCTGGAGTGTGGTTGCGCTCGCTGCTGCTGTTCGCCGGGATGAACGTGGCCGGCATGTACACCCGCTTCCTGACCGACCGCAGCCAGCGGGGAGCATACCTAGAGACGCGACGAGCCATCGCCACTGCCCTGCATGCTCAGCAGGAACGACAAGCAGGAGAAGCTGCTACTCTCCAGTGAGGAGCGGCCGTGAGGCTCCCTTCTCCGCAGCCCGCTCTGTCCGACGCCTCGCCCCAGCCAGGCGGATTGCGGAGATTTCATAGCTGATTATGGAATCCCCGCGGCGCAGTGCCGCTCCTTTTTTGTTCGTTTCATTTAGCATGCGTTGCTGATGACGAAGCCGCTATTTTTGTTTCTTTTTGCGTTAGTCTTTCGTGTTCAGATCCCTTTGTTTAGTCAGGTGTTTTATCTTAATATATGGCTCATATATAAATATATATGTCATATGTCATAATGCCATGAAAATGTCAAATGTCATAATGTCAATAATCATGTCATAATGTTAATAACAACATGTCATAAATGGCTCGGCCACTGGCAGGATATAGTAAAACTGAAACTCAATTCTTGCCTGAGTACCCGGTTGTTTTCATCGGGCATCGCTAAATGTTCGTTACTTGGCCTCCTCAGCCACCCCCTCCCCTCCCCCAAATGCAGCTAATTTCTGGACGAGGCCTACGAGCCATGTTGCAACCCGACTGAGACCAATCCAGATCACGCAGTGCCATCGAAAGGCCTCCGCAACCTGGTCGGTGTTTGGCAGTGCAACGCGTCTCGCTGACGTCGCAAAACGTCCTGCTGATGCCACAAAACGTCCCGCTGACGTTGCAAAGGTCCTGCTGACGTCACAAAACGTTCCGCTGACGTCGCAAAACGTTCCCCTGACGGCGCAAAACGTCCTGCTGACGTCGCAAAACATTCTGCTGACGTCGCTAACGTGCCGCCACAAAACGGCAAGCCGACAGCCGGTGTGTGGACGCGGCGCCACTGCCATCGCCAGCGCCATCTGATGACCACCTTCGCCTCTGCCGGTAGTCTTGCCGCGGTTCGTGGCTCTGGAAATGATCAGAGACATCTCGCGGAGTGACCAGGAACCGTCGCCTACGGGCGCACCTGCTGAAGGCCAGTTCCACAAGATTTACATCCACCGCTGCGAAAATGTCAGCATCCTGTTCGCAGACATCGTCGGCTTCACTGGTCAGTGTCCGGGGCATACCCTCCTGCGAGCGCCCACCACCGCGCTCCTGGTGGCATAAAAACTGGCTCCCGTGAAGATGAATTACTCGCCCGTGCGACGCCTCAATACATACTGATTCGCCGAGGCCAGACGCTCCCAACAGGGGAGTTCCCCCAAGCGGAATACGTGATGTAGCAAAACCAGGTCTGAGTCTAGAAAGATGACCGTCCAGGCTGTGTAAGCAGGTAGATGGGGGCTAGAGTGCGATGGTTTCACATGCAATGATTAAAGGATGGTATCAGTGTCTGCATTAATATGGACCGTTGAAGCTTGAGCGAGATAACGATAGTGAAATTTTACATGGCTCGAATACAAGTGCTGTGTGGATCAGTTTCCGAGACCCAGAAGTCGTTTGCATGATTATATTCACACTGAGAGGCAAAACACGCCTGGCTTAAGCTTTCATGATAGCAGCAATGATAATGTCATTTAGCCGCAGGCGGAATCATAGCTTGATCCATCATTAAGGGAAATGGATCCACAACGGTAACACTGAACTAAGATAATAAGCAATAGAGGTGAGGAGGCGATCGAGCATACAGTACAGATACTGTTTATGCCGGAGGCTGTACTACATTGGATGGGCACTGACCACGTACGTTCGATATCTTCCTGCTCGCATCATTGCTTTCTTTTAACTCCCGCTTTGGGCCGCAGCCAAGGGGTTTCCATTCTCTTGTTGTTTTTACGGTCTTTCTTTTTTATCCCGTTTACAAAGCACATGCTACGCCTGTTATTGGTATTTGACTTTCTGCTCTCTTCTATGGAGGGGGGGGGGGGGAGAGAAGGGCAGGATACGCAACTTTGGCCACTAACACTGATTCTGAATTAATTCTGGCTTCTGACACGGCTTGCCTTCTGGTGTTGGACGGTCAAGCCGATACCAATCCCGGTGCGTCCACTTCTCATCCCGCTGATGACCAGTGACGGATATCGAAACCGACCCTGGCATTGCAGCCGCCATTTTTGACCCCGCCGCTGACTTCCGCTCGTCTCTGACGCACGGTAATGCTTCTGCTCAGCGAAAGTCTGCTCCCCTGACGACCCTTTTAACGACGCCGACCCTTTTAACGACGACCCTTTTAACCCACACTTTTAACTACGCCTCCGAACCCATTCTCGATTCTCTCAGCTCGTGCCTGGCGGTTCTACTCACATTCAACGAGATAAACAGCACTGACATTCTGAGGACCTTGTACGAACTTGTTGGATGGTTCTAATGAATTATATGTGTTGCTCGGCGAGGTCAATGTTAACAATCCAGTTTCAAATCGCGGCTCACACACGGGATTAACCACCGATATCGCATAATCGAAGACTTGATTGGCATGAGTTGGCCCTTGGTACAAAGGTGATATACGCATTTTTATTGTCGCACAACAGGTTCTCAGCCATCGATCTTCCGTTTTGTCCGGCTCTGATCGGCACTTTGGTTGAACGGCTGACTCAGATAGCTATAGCGATTATCAATATCCGATCGGAACGCATACAAACTTTATCCTCACTAATGGCCCCGCTTCTAACTCGGTACCGCGGCGCAGCTTGTGGGAAGAAAACTGATCACACGTGTCACGAAATAATTAATCGTGGATCACGAGTATTTCGCACCCCCAGAACAGGAAAAGGAGACAAACCAGTGCCACAGTGGACTCAAGAAGTGGCGAAGTCCACTGCAAGCCCCTCCCCCCAAGAAAAAAACCTTCCCAACTTTGTTTGTAGTGAAGGCATTCATCACCAATGGCAATAAATCAAGAGAGGGCAAAAGCTAAACGACCATCAGAGAAGCCAAACGTAACACTTTCGAGCGATATTTTGTGACCACCCAGTTTTTACATCAAGCATCACTGAGACCTGATCTGCGTGATCTGCCATGATCTGCTGTTACGTCAGACACATGGCCATCCTTCGGCAATCACTTGTCTCACTCCTCTCGTATCTTGAACCTTCCGTGCTGTCTTTGTGCTTTGGTTTTTGGCCTATTCTGTGCCTACCGTCACACTTCAACCAACACAGGACTGCTTCTAATGTGCCCTTTCTCTGGCTGCCGTGTTCCGCCGAGCACACGGCAGCACGCAGCCGGTCCTCAGTGTAGTGCTCCGCCAAGCACACAGTAGCACGTAGCAAGTTCTCAGTGTGGTGCCGCCAAGCGCACAGTAGCACGTAGCAAGTCCTCAGTGTAGTGCTCCGCCAAGCACACAGTAGCACGCAGCCAGTCCTCAGTGTAGTGCTCCGCCAAGCACACAGCAGCACGCAGCCAGTCATCAGTGTAACCGATTCTGACATGCCGCGTGCATTCCATCGCTGCCTCAGGCCTCAGTGGTCTGGCTTCCGTCCGGCGGTGGGCGTCGCTCCTCACACTGTGAAGGGTGGCACCAGCTGACCCGCGGTGTGGTCGGCGTCTGGCCCGCGGCGTGGTCCGTGTCTGACCGCGGTGCTGTCCGTGTCTGACCCGCGGCGTGGTCCGTGTCCGGCCCGCGGCGTGATCCGTGTCTGGCTCGCGGTGCAGTCCGTGTCTGGCCTGTGGTGTGATTCGTGTCTGGCCTGCGGTGTGGTCCGTGTCTGGCCTGCGGTGTATTCCGTGTATGGCCCGCGGTGTGGCCCGTGCCTGACCGGCTAGTAGTTCGCGTCTGACCGGCGGTGTAGTCCGTGTCTGACCCACGTGTCTGGCCCGCAGTGTAGTCCGTGTCTGACCGGCGGTGCAGTCCGTGTGTGAACCGGGTGTGGTCAGTGTCTGACCCGCGATGTTGTCAGTGTCCGACGACGTTGCAGTCCGTGTCTGACCCGCGGCGTGTGGTCGGGTCTGACCCGCGGGGTGGTCAGTGTTGATCCGCGATGTGGTCAGTGTCCGACCGGCGTTGCAGTCCGTGTCTGGTCCGCAGTGTAGTGTAGTTGCATCTGACCCGCGTGTCTGGCTCGCGGTGTAGTCCGTGTTTGACCGGCGGTGCAGTCCGTGTCTGACCCGCGGTGTGGTCAGTGTCTGACCCGCGGTGTGGTCAGTGTCTGACCGGCGGTACAGTCGTGTGTGACCCGCGGTGTCTGTTTATGTGCGCTGATCTGAGCGCGGTTGTGGTCAGTGTTTACCGGCGGTGCGGTCCATGTCGACCCGCGGTTGTAGTCAGTGTCTGACCGTGGTGTGGTCAGTGTCTGACCCACAGTGTAGTCCGTGTCTGGCCCGCGGTGGTGTGGTCCGTGTCTGGCCCGCGGTGTGGTCCGTGTCTGGCCCGCGTGGTGTGGTCCGTGTCTGGCCCGCGGTGTGTTGTGCGTCATGCCATCCCACGCTGTGCTTTACTGCGGTCCACGACTGGCCGATTGTGTCATTCATCACACTATGACACACAGCTGCGTTTCCGTCTGACCGATGTCTAACTTGCGCATCATCCGTCACTGGCGCAGTCGTCCGACCTTTGGCGTATGCGCTTCCCGCCACACCATGACACACACACGCAGCTGTGGCGCGATGTGGGCGGCGCCGGCGCTGGCGTGTCCGGCCGCCGCTGGCGCCGAGGGCGGCGGGACGTCTGTCATCCGCCACGAACCCGCGCCTGACCGCTGGTTAATCCGCCGCCTGACGTGTCGCCGGACGGCGGCGGTCCCGGGCCGCGGGCCCGGGTCATGCAACGGTGACGGCTTTGGCCTAATTAGGACCCGAGACCACGGAAGTCGAAGGGTCTTAGCACTCACGGAAATGCCGAAATGCGGCACCCGATGCCGGGCAAAAAAATGCCGAACGAAATGACGACACGCCGAATCACACGGAAAGCGACGAAACGACGCAGTCTGCGACGTTAGGTCGTTGTGGTTTTAAGCCGTAGCTCGTCCCCAACACCCAGCACAGTACCGCAACACACAGGTTGCGGTACTGTGCTGAGGGGTCAGGTCGTAGCCTGGGGTCTGCCGCATTTGCCTTGCGGATGTTTATCTAGGTCTAGATCGGATTTTTGTGATGTCCTTTGACAAAGAGTTATGTAGTGTATTGTTACATTTTTGCCGTTGAACATAAAACTCACCGAATTTCACGCCGAGCCCCATGCGGGGCATGCAGTGACACCTCTCACTAGGCACGCTGTAGCTCTGCACCGCGCCGCCAGTCTTTCAGTTCCGAAGTAGCTGGGACATGTTCAGTGACGAGTAAGCAGTCGCGCTCTCCGGAAGGCCGTTCCTCTGAAATGCATCGTCCAGAGAAGCGGCCATGCATCGTCTTGACGTCGAAGGGCGTGCCCGAGCTGTCGCCAGGGGGGGGGGAGGTGGTTCCAGCGGTGGTGCCTGCGGTGTCGCGCCTCACCCGCCGTGATCGCAGCTGGTCGCTCCCTCGACGCCGACGCTATGCCTCCTCCACAGCGCTGGCGTCCCTCTGCAGCGCCAACGAGCTCGTCAAGCTTCTCAACAGGCTGTACGCCCGCTTCGACCACATCGCCCACGTAAGAGGAGCGGACGCCGCGCGCGCCGCCGTACAGTGTCCGGCCTCACCGCGCCCCACGGCTCTTGATTGCCTACATCGCGTGATGGACACCCGTCGTTCTGGCAGTGGGGCATGAAAGGTCTCTGCGGCATCACGGTCAACGTGCCTTCAGGCCAAAATCGCGTTCATCAGCAGAGTGGCGTGTTTCCCCGTAATCCAGCCATACTGCAAACATCCAAGCTTATCGGCCACTGTGCGTGGGCTGTATCGCTTGTGGGTCACGCGTCTAACCAGGGCTAAGGTTGACCTGGCCATGATAGCTCGCCGGCCACGTCTTTTGCCATCGCTCTAAGCTGCATTCTCTCCTATCAGCACTGCGCAATGTTATGCAATATATGAGTGTCCTAATACCTCCCCTGG